CTGAAGAGTGGTTGGCTGGAAAAATCAACATTTATTGTTCTTCAGCCGAGATACGGATCTAGGCTGAAGAAGTTGGCTGAAAAAACCAACACTTAGTACTCTTCAGCCGAAGTAAGGATCTAGGCTGAAGAGTGGTTGGCTAGAAAAACCAAAGCTTATTGTTCTTTTGCCGAGATAAGGATCAAGGCTAAAGAGGTTGGCAGGTATGGCCAGTCAGATTGTAAAGTTATGACCAGGATAAGGTATCTCGGTCCGAGAATATTATACTTCATTCAGATTACAGTTAGAAAGTAACATGCATGACAGTTAACCGAAATAACAGTTGGATCAAAAGAGATTTCATTGATCATACGAAGTCAAAGTACAAAAAGGGGGGACTTCGGCCCGGTTACAGTCTCTCTTTTCAAAAGGCAAAAAAGAAGAAAAGTACATAGTCAAGCAAACAGGTCATCTAAGTTAGTATCTAAAACCACCCGGTCTTCGCTCGATTGAGGCAACCACATTCTTATTAAGCTTGGTTGGAGGCACATCATCGGACACAGCTGGCAAAGGTGGGATGGAGACCTCTGGAGTTGGGGAGGTAGACTGGCGACCGGACTGAGTGTTGTCTTCTAGAGCTTCATCTTCATCCTCCTCCTCCAGAAATTGTTGCTGAATGGTAGCAGCATACTCCGTCAGTGAGCTCAGTATGAAATATGAAGGAGGATTGAAGACCTCGGTCTCAGGTCCATGATCGAGCTGCGCCACAGCCCCTCTCCACCCGCATTTAAAGAACAGGTCCTTCACAGCTTCACACTGCTTGATGTACAGGGCTTCGCCTTCTTTGAAACCGCGGTCCTCCGCATCCTCTAGCTTCTTCTCAAACTTTGTTATTTCGGCATTCTTTTTTCCTTCAAGCTTGGCCAGCTCACGTAGATATTTATCTTTCATAACGGCCAGGGCCTTTTGTTTAGCAGCATCAGCCGAGGTAACTAGCCCGGTGAGTCGAGCCACCTCGGCCTCTAGCTCGGCCGTCTTCTGTTGGGACTCTTTTAGCTCTGCCGTCTTTTCATTAGCCTCGGCCATGGCCTGCCTGGTGGTTTTTCGAAGTTCCAACACTCGCTTGTGAGCAATGTGGTTTTTCTATATGGCCTACAAAAGGATAGTAAGACAATTTTCAGTAAAACTGAGCCAAAATTCGCAAGAATTTCTAAAAAATAAGCGAAGGAGCAACTTACCAGCACCATTGATTTTTTGGACGAACGAAGGGCCTTCAGTTCAGTTAGGTGGTCGTGGTGCCTCATGTCGACTGGAAGGCAAACGCCTTTAGCAAGGCCATCAAGTGGTCTTTTTCTGCGACCACTAAGTCAGAATTCGTGATAGCACGGTTCTGAAATGCGATCTTTGGTACCCACTTTGAGAAGCTAGCTCGGTCTGAGCGCTCAGGTGGAGGGCTTGGTGAAATGGTTCGAGGCACCACGGTTTCATCCTCGTCAACAAGGCGTGGCTCGGTTATGGAAGTCCAAGCACGCTTGCTTAGGCGAGATGATGAGGGCTGAGCGGTTAGTAAGGCCACTACGTTCTCTTGTGGTTGGCTTGCTGGTGGTACATCGGCTTGGTTTGTTTCGGTTAGAAGGGCCCTCACTGCTCTTTTCTTGGCTATTTCTTGTTCGGTAGTTAGTGAGATGAGATTGATTTGAGGCAAGGATGGATCTGGCTCTGGCGAAGGTTCAAGGAGGAAATCGGTCACTCTGGTCTTCCTGCGGGTACTATATCGGCAGGTCGGTTCGAAATTCAGTAGCTCGGCCCAGCCTCTGTTTGGATATCGGAGTGCTGCACGAAGTACATTTAAGTTTGGGTAACTGTACTGAGACTTGAGGAAGTTCAAATTTGCATAAAGTAAGGAGAATATGGTTAGTTTGGTTCAAGAAGTGAAAACCGAAGTAAAGAAAAACATGCAATAAAGCTGAGGTAACCTGCTACACCCTTGTTCCAATTTATTCTGTAGCCAGGGATCTGGGCTTGATGGTCCTTAAAGTTTCCAGATACCGAAAAGAAATCATCATCATTCACGTCTTTATCCAGGGTATTCTTTATTATTTTTCACGTCGGCGCCTTATTCTTAAATAGTAAACCCAGCCATATTCGGCCGATCCTATGGAGTATTGATGGAAGAGTTCGGCTAGACCGAGATTAAGGCCAGCTCGACGGTTTAGCTCGACAATGCCGTTTATTATGCGATAAGAATTGGTGGAAAGTTGGGTAGGGCAGAGCTTGGTTTGTCTAAGAAATTCACAAAGAAGGGGTTGTACAGGGAATCGCAGACCGCACTCTACGATGGAAATAACGTTAAAAGGGACAAAGCCTTGTTTTCCCCAGGGACGGTGTCTAGTTCGGCTAGTGAAAAATGGACATCATCTGGAATTTGGTAGTCCTTACAGAATTCGGCTAAAAATCTATATTTACTAAAAATCTATATTTACCCATTGATTGTTAAATTATCAATAAACTAGCTAAAGGTTTAGCTCGGTCAAGAAAAGACGCCTAGTAGCTCGGTTGAGCAATCAGAGGAGTGCCTGGCCAACCTAAGTCTGCAAAGTAAAAAAGAAAGGTGTTAAGCACTGATCACTGGATTGTGCTACAAAAAACAAGGGCAAGATAAATGAAGTCTTAGCTTGGCTACGCAAGATGCTATCAGTTTTTAGCTCGGTTTGAGCAAGGGGCTTTTTATCCCGGTTGAGCCTTTGGGGCAACATCATTAGTACAAATCGTACTAAGGAAGTTGGTTTAGCCCCAAGTTGTAGCTCGGTCGGAAGTTAAGGCTTTCTAAGTACAGTATTGCGCAAACCTAGTACGGTTCGATTGCTTGTTTAGATGAAGCTAAAAGGTACCTAACCTATGGAAACTACAAGTATGGCATGGGTTTTAGTTTGGTTATTGGGTGTGGCTAGGCTTGCACCTAATGCAAACAATATCCTAGTTCGGTTGGGATGTGATTTTGGATCAAATATAGTGTTTTTTCACACTATTCATGAATGTAGTGGTTCTATCATAAGGTTTTCCCAAAAAACTGAAAGTGAAAGTGGCGTGTGTTTTGAAAAACGTACAAATACGTGTGTTGTGTATTACAAAACAGATGCAAAATCAACAAAAAAGAAATAAGATTGGGTTACTTACAAGTTTGAAGACGAGTTGATGAAGATCAAAGCCACGAGAGAAAGCTCTTTGTAGGCACTATGTTTGGGAAAAATGGAGGTTCGGAGAGAGAGAGAAGGAGGTGAATAGTGGAATGAATGATTCAAAACGAAGGGGTGTTTTGTGTAGAGGAAAGGACAAAAAAGCGGGACTGTTCAAAATACACAAAGTACGAAAACGGGCGTGACAGTTACTGTAACAACCCTCATACTGTTTACCGATTAATGACTGATTGATTACCAATAACCATCGATTATCGTTGAACTGAATTGATTATGATTGATGATTGAACTGATTAAAAGTACTGAACCGACTGACTGAAATTGAAACTGAATTAGCCAAGTATAACTATTGTGTTGCACATTCTATCTGTTTGATTGATTAATTATCTGTTCATGTCTTTGTGTTTAAACTGCTAATTGAAGGCCTTATCGGCGGCCGAATCCGGAATTGATTGAAGTTTTATGATCGTCATAATTAATGTGATTTTATAGTAAAGTTATCTGAAAAATGATTAGGTATGATTAAATTAGATTAAAACGAGTTAATTGCAAAGTTTGCCGTAATTACCAACTTGCCACTAAGTGGGCCACTATCTCACACACCTTTGAGCCTTGTATACACTCATACACTTGAATCAAAAACCATTTCCTCAGCCCTTTTTCCTTACACTAGCCGACCAAGAGAGGAGATAGGAGAGAATTGAGCTCAACTTGAGAATTACTTGCTAATTGAAGTGTGGATTGCTAGATTGAACCTCAAGACTAGTAATTAAGGACCTTAGGTATGAATTTCATCCTTTTGGTTTGTCTTTAAGTTGATTCTTGCATGGTCTATGTTTAATTGTAGAGCTAAGTCATGTTTTGGTTCATACATGTTGATATAGAGCATAATTCATGCTTGCATGTGTTCTTGGTTGAATTTGGAGTCGAGTTCATGGCAAAATGGTGCATGCATGTTCATAATTATGTTAAGTCTATGATTTCACCATGTTTTGAAAAGAATTGGCTCCTTAGAGCATCAAATTGGAGCTTCAAAATGGTTTGAATTCATGCATGTTTGCATGTTCATCTTGTGCTTGAAAAATTGGTTTAAATTGAGTTTGAATTAAACACCCTTGGGCTTTGATTTCTTAAAATTGAGCTTTGAAACATGTTATTCTATGTGTTTATAAATGTTTTCCAGAAAATGGGCCCAAGAGGATCGGTTTTGATGCATTTGAATGTGAGTTTGAGCTTGGAGGTGCAATCTGGAATTCCCAGATTCTGCACTTCCGCTCAAGCGGAGGAAGTGCCGCTCGAGCGTGGAATCCGAGCATCCAGTATCTCTGCACTGTTTTACAGTCCGCTCGAGCGGAGGATTGGGCGCTCGAGCGGAGTCATGTCTCAAGCTCGAGCGAGCGTCGAGCGGAGATTTCGAAGAGCGCAGATTTGATCAACAGGATTATACGAGAATGTTTATTTCTTTCCTGTACAGTAATGATATGGTATAAAATTTATATTGTGCACCTCTTGAAGCACACACTTTATGATGTACATATTATAAATTATGATAAATGCTTGCTAAGTTAGGATGAGATTGTTTGAAATTGTGATTCAATCGTATTTTGTATAATGACTCTAATGACATAGTAAATTAATGATTGAGTTTTTACTTGGTGAGTCATAATTTAAAAATATGATCTAATATGTTTTAATTGTATTGCGTCGTAACTTCATGTATAAAATATGATCGGAACATGCACACAAATTAATGAATTTCTTTTGTTTCAAAATAGTAAAAGACTATAATATGGCGTATTCTTCCCCAAAAAGAATTTGTTTGTATAGCCCCTCTCCCCATCCCAAAAAACAAGGGACAAAAATTTAACCTATAATTTTGCCTAACAAATTCTCTCCCTACCACAAATTCCACCTATGTAGCCCCAAAAATTAAGGATCTATTTCCTCCTTTCAATTACCAAGCCTCTCATTCATTCTCTTGGCCCCTACTCCCTTCTGTCTCTGAGACATTTCACAAAGCTAGCTCCTCCATCATTGGTGGACAACATGGTATTCTCTCTCTGTCTCTCTCTCTCATATGATTGTGCTTGTGATTAAAGAAATATCATGATCATTATGTGAACAAATAATAGATTAGAAATGCTAGAGTTATTCTAGTTAATTTGAATTGTCTTTGATGGAGATGATTATCATGAGCTTGAACAATCTTTGTTTCCATTGAATTATTTGGTGGGTTTTTTTTTTTGTTTTTTTGTTTTTTTTTTGCCCTGCCTGTCTTATTCTAGTGTGTTATGAAGAAACACACCTCATAGGGGATAATCACATTGAGGAGCCAGAAAGTTTGAGCTGTTAGATTAGGTTTGAAAACATTATTTCCTTTTTGTTTTTGTCTATTGTTAGTGGGTGGATTGGATTGGATTGGACCACATTTGATGAAACATTGTTAATTGGTTTAATTAAAATCTTGATATGCTTCTTTGGGCGCACCCACAGCTCCATGGGACCATGTAGTATTGGAATTATTTGGTTGGTGTAATCCATTTGCTTAAATGTAAACCATATATCCCCATCTAACAAAAATAAATAAATTATATATTAGGAACAAAGTTTTCCTATCTTATGGATTATGCTACATGCCATTGTCCTAGGATGTTTCTTTTTTTTCTTCCTCTCTCTTTTTTTTTTTTTTGCAATTTATCGGAACTGTTCATAATTTTTTTTTTGAGAGTTTGTACCCCGTCTACTGTTCTGTATAGACTGAATGTTTACTGTACTGTTATCAAGGGATTATGTCCCTGTACTGTGTGATTGTAAATTTTGTATAGACTGTACTGTTTGTATATGTGGTTTGTATATGTGAATGCATGAAAAATCTTTTTGGCATACAGACTGACACAACTCAATGGACATTATTCATTTACTGTATTGGCTTCCGCCAGGCCCTGTACTCTGTTTTACTGTACTACTGTTCTGCAGGCCTTTGGTAATCTCGGATTACTGGCCGGTTACGGTGCTAAACCCATAGGGCCGGGTTTGGGTCGTGACAGCCAATAACAGTTTGCCACGTGACCATGGAATGGGAAACAGTTCAGTACAGCAACCAAAGAGACGTTTTGACCGAACGTGTTAAAATAGCCTGGTGTGAATTTAGCTCGATTGGAATGCTAAAGTTTTTAGCTCGGTTGGTAACAGGTAATCCCTATCATGCTATGCAGATGGAATTAAGAGACAATTGAGAGGGTAATTTATGAGTAAATTCGGCCGAGCTGGGTAATGGGCCGTTCTATGGGCCATAGTAAGAAGGACTTAGTAAGTGGACCGTAGTCTAGGTGTTAGCTCGGTCCAGGTATGGAAGTGACCTAGCAAGGGTTAGCTCGGTCCGGGAATAATCATGGTCGCCATAGTCAGAGTAGATAGTTAGCCCGGTCCAAGAAAGCTCCGCCGTTAGCTCGGTTACCACACTCAGAGCGGTAATAGTTAGCTCGATCATACCATATTAAGCCGAAGTGTGTTGAGCTTTCCTCAGAACCCTGCTATTGGTTAGCTCGGTCCAAGCTCGTTGTGGTTAGTGCGGTCTCGGACAACCCAGTTGAAATATGTCAAACCGAGGTACACGCAGTGAAAGGAAGAACCGAGCTAGGGGGAGCTCAGTCTATCTGCGGCTTTAGCATGGCCATGTTATCTCGGTCGTATTGACATCCAACTATGGCAAAACCATCTCACTTGGTTTAAGTAGTGAGGGGGTGTTGAAGGATAAGCATTATCTTTCAGGAATGTGATTCCTAGGAGGACTCTATATGGAGGAGTAAGAGTCCTACTAGGATTGTATCACACAGAACCCATAAAAGCTCATAATATCACATATGGAGAGGTAACACAACTTTGATTCCCGAATACACAGAGTTTTTTGTCTATTTGTCTATTTTGCTGACTTAGGCATTGGAGAGGTATCCGACACACACCCGCCGGCTAGCTCACGTTTGTGTTTTCAGGGAGTAAAGCGACGACGTACGGAGGAGCGAATGACGACGTACGTAGGAGCGCAGATTTGATCAACAGGATTATACGAGAAGGTTTATTTCTTTCCTGTACAATAATGATATGGTATAAAATTTATATTGTGCACCTCTTGAAGCACACACTTTATGATGTACATATTATAAATTATGATAAATGCTTGCTAAGTTAGGATGAGATTGTTTGAAATTGTGATTCAATCGTATTTTGTATAATGACTCTAATGACATAGTAAATTAATGATTGAGTTTTTACTTGGTGAGTCATAATTTAAAAATATGATCTAATATGTTTTAATTGTATTGCGTCGTAACTTCATGTATAAAATATGATCGGAACATGCACACAAATTAATGAATTTCTTTTGTTTCAAAATAGTAAAAGACTATAATATGGCGTATTCTTCCCCAAAAAGAATTTGTTTGTATAGCCCCTCTCCCCATCCCAAAAAACAAGGGACAAAAATTTAACCTATAATTTTGCCTAACAAATTCTCTCCCTACCACAAATTCCACCTATGTAGCCCCAAAAATTAAGGATCTATTTCCTCCTTTCAATTACCAAGCCTCTCATTCATTCTCTTGGCCCCTACTCCCTTCTGTCTCTGAGACATTTCACAAAGCTAGCTCCTCCATCATTGGTGGACAACATGGTATTCTCTCTCTGTCTCTCTCTCTCATATGATTGTGCTTGTGATTAAAGAAATATCATGATCATTATGTGAACAAATAATAGATTAGAAATGCTAGAGTTATTCTAGTTAATTTGAATTGTCTTTGATGGAGATGATTATCATGAGCTTGAACAATCTTTGTTTCCATTGAATTATTTGGTGGGTTTTTTTTTTTGTTTTTTTGTTTTTTTTTTGCCCTGCCTGTCTTATTCTAGTGTGTTATGAAGAAACACACCTCATAGGGGATAATCACATTGAGGAGCCAGAAAGTTTGAGCTGTTAGATTAGGTTTGAAAACATTATTTCCTTTTTGTTTTTGTCTATTGTTAGTGGGTGGATTGGATTGGATTGGACCACATTTGATGAAACATTGTTAATTGGTTTAATTAAAATCTTGATATGCTTCTTTGGGCGCACCCACAGCTCCATGGGACCATGTAGTATTGGAATTATTTGGTTGGTGTAATCCATTTGCTTAAATGTAAACCATATATCCCCATCTAACAAAAATAAATAAATTATATATTAGGAACAAAGTTTTCCTATCTTATGGATTATGCTACATGCCATTGTCCTAGGATGTTTCTTTTTTTTCTTCCTCTCTCTTTTTTTTTTTTTTGCAATTTATCGGAACTGTTCATAATTTTTTTTTTGAGAGTTTGTACCAAACTGTTTAGTACAATTTTTGCTTATAGCTTATTGATAAGAAATAATTTAAATTAACTAGAAAAAAAAAACTAATTTTTAAAAGTTGGGTGAGGGGTACTTTTGAGTTTTATTTTTGGATTATTAGCTTTTAATTTACAATAAATTGCATTAAACAGTACCATAATGTGGTAAGAGGCCGACTATTAAAACAATTCAACACAAAAATAGGTTTGTAAATAAGTTGAGTCTATAGTAATTAGTCTTCATTTGCAAAGAGTTAAAATAGTCTAATTTTTTGACTTTTTGACTATTTTAGTTTGACTTTTTTAGCCTCTTTTGGTTTTGATTTTTGATTTTGATTTTTTTGACTTTTGTAAGAGAAGAAGTGTAATGATTGGATGTGACATTTTGTTTTACTTATGTAGCCAATTTTGTCTTTTGTACCTTTTTAACCAAAAATCCATTGCCAAACATAGCTTTAGGGGCATTTTGGGGACATTCTAAAAAAGCCAATTTTTTTGGCTTTTTTAACTTTTTACACAAAAAAAAAAATCACAAAAAGTCAATTTTTTTAACACAAAAAAGCCAAAAAAATCACAAAAAAACCAAAAAACTAGTTTTTTTACGAACTTACCAAAACACCACTTAGGCTTCGTTTGGAAAGTGGGTTGGCTTTTTGACTTTTTAATTTTTTTGGCTATTTTAACATGGGTTAAAAAGTTTGGTTTGAGAAGGATTTTTTAGTTTTTTGACTTTTTTTATGAGAGAAGAGTGTAATGATTATGGGTTGGATGTGATATTTTATTTGTTGTGATTAAAATAGCTTATTTTATCTTTTGTGGCTAAAATAGCCAAAAAGGCCCATAAACCAACTTGCCAAACAGAGGCTTAATAGGTTGTTTTGTGTACACGTTTTTAGTGACTTTTTTTTAGGAAAATTTACCCATAAGTCCTACTTTTTGAAACGTTGAACCATTTAGTCCTAAAAGTTTTCTTATGCTCCATTTAGTCCCATTTTTACATCAACATGATGTGAATGATGTAAATGATCTGATGTTTCATTCTATAATTTCAAAATTTATTGAAACCTGATGAACATTAGATGTTTTTCATCCTATATTTTCAAACATTATTGAAATTTGATGAACATTAGAGGTTTGAAATCCAATGTTTGTAACATGACTCTGATGTTATTAACATTGTATCTGATGTTATTAACATTGTAATGGGACCTTTCAGTCTACAAGAAAATTTTTAGGACTAAACAGTGCATAAGTTATTAATTTGGGATTTATTGGTGCATCCCCTTTTTTTTACTTGGTGAATTTTCTTTTACTAAAGGCGAAAAAATACAAGAAATAAAATAAAACAATTCTAAAAATCTAATAAAACTTGTATTTGGAAAGTTGCTAGAAAAAATATTTTTTTGTAAGTGAAAATTGAATTATTTTTTGACTTTACTAATTGATGACAAAGAAACTATTTAATTTTTTAACATTTTGGCCAAAAAAAAAAAAAAAACTTTTTTAGCTGCAGCCTAAACAAGCTCTACGCATCACCCCATCTACGTCAGCCTAATGATATTTAGGCCAAGTTTGGAAAGGTTAAAATAATTCATCTTTTTATTTTTTTTATCATATTATTTTTTTATTTTTCTGCACATCTTTTTATAAAAAAGTAAAAAGTACACTTATTTAAATCATTCCAAATAACCCCTTAGAGTTGGTTTAAGATCTTAACAAACATCAAAATGATTTTAGAAAAATGTTTGAGACATTCAAAAAGTTCTCATAATTGTAGCTGCAATAATGTGATATGATATGTGTCAACTCTTGATTAGTTACATACCAAATGAAGTGGGACCCAATTTCCTTGTCACATCATCATCGGTAAATTTGTGAGTCTAAAAGTGTGGGCATTGCTCATATTTTAAAACGTGACTTATTTATTTTTTGAGCTGACGTAAAATGAGTTTTAATTATCGATCATAAATCAAGTTTGAGTAACTTAATTTTTTATTGTACATATATATTATAGAGCTTAGTGATAAATTGTTTAAACCTAATTCAAAAACTAAACATATTTTAAAATGTGACTAGGATTATCTTATTTATATAACAGACTAATCTCAAACAAGTTTTTACCGAACTGAATAGATTGATTTGTTTTAAAACCCTAACTCACAAGGACTAAAATATATCGTTCACATCACTAGACCTTCATTTGTGGGGCAAAATGTTGCTTTGCTACTCCAAGAAACTGTGTGAAATATTATCTGTTAGAACTGTACTGATTGAAGCTGAAGGGTCAAATCTTGCAGCAAAATGAATGCTTTGACAATAATTTTAAGTTTTCAACCTTTTGGTTAGGTGGGATGGTTTTGGTTACAATGTTTATGGCAATGTACCATTTAATTTCATATATTGCACCAATTGAAGTTTTAAAAGTTGCAATATTTACTATGTCTTCTGTTGTTGCTGTAATTCTTTGTTTTTTGGCAAGTCAGGCAAATGCCGCATCTGGAATGGCTGTGGACGACGCATGCAAGCTGAGGTTCTTGGAACTAAAAGCGAAGAGGAATTATCGCTTCATCGTGTTCAAGATTGAAAACCAACAGGTGATAGTTGAGACGCTCGGGAACCCTCAACAAGGCTACGATGATTTCGCTGCCAGCCTGCCCGCTAATGAGTGCCGCTATGCTGTCTATGATTTTGATTTTATAACCAACGAGAATTGCCAGAAAAGCAAAATATTCTTCGTTGCATGGTAATTAAAAAAACACGTAAATGAGAGTAAAAACTAATTTCAGTGAAATTTCACTGACGAAATTAAGATAAATGTGTTTTCAACATTTGAAATTATAAGTACTATCTTTGTTTTTGGGTGAACAGGTCTCCGGATATATCGAGAGTGAGGAATAAGATGGTGTATGCTAGTTCCAAGGATAGATTCAAGAGGGAACTCGATGGCATTCAATTCGAACTTCAAGCAACAGATCCTAGTGAGATGAGCATTGACATTGTGAAATCGCGAGCCATCTGCTAACTAACTTTTCTGAAAGCTTGTTGTTCCTGTTTCAGTTGTCGTCGCAATACTACATTCTTTGGGGGGGCTTTTTCTCTATCTCTTTCTATTATAAATGGGTTTTGTCATCTTTTTTTTTTGCTTTTTGGCTTTCTTGATTTGGTTCTAGTCAAAACCAAGTGGATTTTATATGCCATTTTGCAACTTATATTTTGTGACTACATAAGCCTCAATAATGTTTACTTGAGTTTCAATACATATGACAAGTGAATGAATCTCTCCTTCTCTTTATAATTTATTAATTTTCCTTCTTTTTTTTTTTTTTGGAAATAAAAATGAAAAGGTTGGAACACCATGGTTATGATATTGTAAAAATAAAATTGAGATATTAGAATTCATGCCTTCGGTCACCAGATTTATGAATTCTATTATGATTGGTATTGAAATGTGGACTTGGTCTAATAGTAAGGCTTGTTGTTATTGTATTTGGTGGTGTATTTGAATTACGAGAATAACCTCTTTAAAAATGAAATAAAATTACATATATCTTGATTTTACTTTAACACGAATTTTGTGCAGTGTCTATTTGACAACTTAAAATTTACAATGTCTAATGCTTGAACTAGTTAGCTATTCTACAATATATTTGGAAGTCATCATGAATTGAATTTTATTCACCAATCCACCTTTAGAATTAACCAAAGCACTCACCAAAATATGAATGATGTATAAGATTTGGAAATTGTAAGTATTTAAAAAAAATTTCTAAATACGTTTTGGTACATCTATAACCAATCCCAATTAAATTCAGACTGCAAACATGAAGTGGACGGTGGCCGATTAGGTCAAACAGGAAAGAAACACTCCATAAAGGCGCTTATAAAACAAGTCCAATGGATGTATTAGGGAATATGCGTACCAATTACCATCACTTTTACATCATGTTTGTTTGGGTGGACATGAGCTTGGGATTGGACTAATAGTCCAATAAAATTATTAATCCGATGTTTGGTTAAACAATTGAAGTACGGACTATTAATTTTAAACTTGACTATTAGTTAAGATAGGATACATAATCCAACGGATTCGTAATCCTAGGACTATTAGTCATGGGAATGCTAATCCAGTCCGCCCAAACAAACATGGCCTTATATTAATTTTTGTCTTTTTAATTTTATTAAAACAAAGTGTAATTATTTTAAAATTATAAAACTTTTCCGAATTTATCCCGCATGGAATTGTGTGGTTGTAATTAAATTTGTATGATACGGAATCTGTGAGTAGAATAAATCTAAATTACAAGATTAAAAAATTTTGGATAATTTTTGAATTGATAAGGTGGGTTGTAGTATTACTCCATTATTTTTATTAAAAATATATATGAAAAAAGAAGAGGAGAATTATTATATATGGGCTGAAATAGGCCTCTGCCATATATGGTCCTGGTTTTGAAAAGTCCACCAGGCTAGGTCGTGGGTTGGCCCTTGGAAATATTTACAGAGTGTATCACACCACACCTAGGGTTTCTTTCTCTCTCTCTCACTCTCTCTCACACACACACACACACACACACACACACACACACAGAGAAATGGCGGAGGAAGCTTCTAGTACTGGAGCAGCATGTTGGAGCAACATAGTGAAGCAGAAAGCGGTAGCACCGAAGCAAGTCCTGCACGGCGTGAGTGCGGCGGCTGATGGAGTGGTGGTGGAGAGCTGCAAGTCGACGAAAGGCATCGCCGTGGCAGTGGTGGATGCCAACGCCATCATACAAGGCGGAGAGAGGCTGTCCAACTGCGCCGACAAGTTTGTATCCGTCTCCGAAGTCATAGACGAGGTCCGAGACCCCTTGTCCCGTCACCGCCTCAATTTCGTCCCTTTCACCGTCGACACCATTGACCCCTCTCCCGATTCCCTCAAAAAAGGTTTCTTCTTCTTCTTCTTCTTCTTCTTCTCTCTCTCTCTCTCTCTCTCTATATATATATATATATATATGCATACATACTCTTCGTGTTCTTTGTTGTTTCTAGTGTTCCACTTTTATGGGATGGTTTGGAAAATATTGAATTGTTGAGAAAGTGATGTGTGAAATTTTCAATTTTCAATTATCATAGACTGTAATCTTGATTGGGATTGTGGTTATTGAGTTTTTATTTATTTTTAAATTTCTAAAGTATGTGAAAGAAATAAGCTATGCTTTCCTGTTTTGCCATTGAAGGTTTCTGTTATTCCTTGATGAATCAGAGTATTATTATTAGTTTATGAGGAATACTAAGGCTGTATGTGTTTGGTTGAGGGATTTGGAAAGGGAAAGTTAAGGGAAAAAAGGTACGTGAAATTTTGTGAAATGTAGCCTTTTCTCTTTTCCTTTTCAAATTCCTTTCTAGGTCAAGTTTGGGAAGACTAAATAAGTGCACTTTTTGACTTTTTATAAAATATGGGTTGGGTTTGGGTGGGGTTTGAAGTGATGTGTTAGAGAGGTGATGTGACTTAAATAAGATGATGTGACTTAAATAGGATAGTGACTTTTTGACTTTTTATCTTTTTTTAGTCATGCCAAACTTGGCCTAAATCCCCTAACCAAACAAAGTGTAAAGACCCATAATTTAGAAGCCAAGAGAGTTGGGCCTTACATAGTTGAGTGTGTGACAAATTAAAGTTTGACATGTAACTTGTCATGTCATTGTGGGTAAATTGGGGGATGCTGTTTAGGGGTTTCAATCCTTTTTTCTTATTTTATTTTTTTGGATTTCTCAGATAGCTTCTGATGTTGTCGTTTTAGTTCTATGACTAAGTCATGAGGGTGGATATTAGACTATCAGATAATAGAGTTCATTTATTAGAGAAGATTGAAATTTGAGGATTGGTACAAAGATGTTGTAGAATTTTGGTTTGTTTCATTGGCTAAATTTTTCTATTGACATGATTTGTGACAGTTATCAGCTTCGCGAGGGCAACTGGTGACTTACAGACACTTTCAGATGTTGATCTGAAGCTCATTGCTTTGACGTATACATTGGAAGCTCAGATCCATGGTACTAAACATCTCAGAGACATCCCTCCCCCTATTCACACGGTTAATGTGAGACGACTTCCTGAGAAAGACTTGCCTGGGTGGGGTTCCAATGTTCCAAATTTGGAAGAGTGGGAAGCATTGGAGCATGAATCTGAGGATAAATCAAACCCTAATTCAAGAATCCTCCCATTGCAAGACCTAAACTTGAAGGCCATCCCTACAGCTCACCATCATAGTACTGAAGATGGGTCAATGGGAAATGAAGGGGAAACTCATGTTGGAAATCAGGAGGATGCCAATGGCAGTTTTAGTAAACCCAGGAAATATTTACCTAAGAAGAAAGAGATAAGCATTGAAGGGAAGAAGATGGTAGCCGATGGAATTGATGCATCTCAGGGACAATTTGATGATAATGCTGGTGATTGGTTGCCAGCTGTCAGTAAAAGTACTCATAGAAAATATCTCAGGAGGCAAGCTAGACGTGAAATGTCGGAGGCCTTGTCTGAAAAAGATGGTCAGCAAGATGCTGTGGAGAATATAGAAAGTGATAACCTTGAAAACAGGACATGCCCTGATCAGCTGACAGTTAAAAGTTCTGACGAGACACATGTTGTAATTGCAAATTTAGAGGAAACAGAAGTCTCAGAAGGGCAGAACAGTATTGAAGATCTTTCCACAATTTTAAATGAAATGAGGCTGGAAGAAGATTCATTGAAAGCAATTCAAGAAGGAAAGGAGCAAAGTAATTCTTGTGCAGGTCTTGAGCCTAACTGTTCTGCAGGGGAGGAGGATATGTCTGATAGTAATGGAAATATAGGTGTTGAAGAAGATGACATTGAAAATGTCAATGAAGAATTGGAACATTTGGAGATCTCAAGCCAGACCAATGAAAGTTTTGATGCATCGTGTGTTGGTGATAACAGTAGTGAGCAGAGCTGGACATTGAGATCCTTGTCCGAATCAACTGTAGCTTGTGTAACGAGTGATTTTGCAATGCAAAATGTACTTCTGCAGATGGGTTTACGCTTGCTGGCACCCGGAGGAATGCAGATCCGCCAGCTGCACAGGTATATATATCTGTTGCAATTATTTTTTGATTGGGTGTTTACTGATAGGCACTGTAATCTTCTTTTTCATTTGTTTTGGCTCTTTTTTTTGTGAATACCTTGGTGCTCACTTTTGTTTTTGTGTTTTGAACATGAATAATTTTTTAAAAATAAATGGGATATCTTTTCTGTTTTTCTGGTTAGTGCATCTTACTTCTGGATTTATGGAAAATTTAATTGACAAAGCAATGTGCTTATTTACGAGACATATTTCCAGGTGGATACTGAAATGCCATGCCTGCTTCAAGGTGACCCCAGAAATTGGTAGGATCTTTTGCCCCAGTTGTGGGAATGGTGGCACCCTACGGAAGGTAGCTGTCACAGTTGGTGAAAATGGCATAGTTCTTTCCGCTCGTCGGCCACGTATTTCCTTGCGTGGCACAAAAGTAAGTATATATTATTATGACATTTTTCTTTTTGTGGAATTTTATAGGAATTTATGGTTCTTCATGTTTCTTATGTTACAAACTTTCATGCTGTTAGATTTTGAACAGCTTTTCTCGTGGACCTAGAAAACACTGCTGCTACATATATTGTATTTCTGTGTCAGTTCTCATCTTCTGTGTATAGTGTCTCCTGGAACAGTTTCTTCCAATTTACTTATTGCATTGCTTACTGAACTAAGCTGTTTAATTTAACAGTAACTGCTTGTTCAAGTATAACTGTTTAGTTGTCTTTGTATGGCAAGCTTTCATTTTACTACCCTGATTGGGATATAGACCTTAAAGCTGTGTATTTAGTTTTCATACTTCTGAGCAGGATGGGAATAAGGCACTTAAAAGGTATACGTAGGCATCCCAGCGGATAACATGCCTGTTTTTGCTCGACTGTGTGTGTGTGTGTGTGTGTGAGAGAGAGAGAGAGAGAGGCAGTGGTGGTGCTTGGAACTTGGTTGGTTGTATGAAGTATTATTTGTTTGTATTCAATAGAGTTGACATTTATTGTGGAAATTAATTTGAAGTTTGGTTTGCGCATGTGCAGTTCTCACTGCCTTTACCCCAAGGTGGAAGAGATGCCATTACTAAGAACCCTATTTTACGAGAAGATCAGCTTCCACACAAGGTCCTGTACCCAAAGAGAAAGAAGAAGAGTAAACAGGTTAGTTTTCTTCTTTGTTCCTCCCTCTTTTTCTCCATGTGTGTCGTTTGTTGCTATTCTCCTCTATACCATCTTTTTCCTCCTTCCCTCTGCTTCGTTCAAAATGTCTATGCTGGTAACTAAAACTGAGAACTAAAACTGAGACTTATATTTATATCATTTTTTTTAGGGAGAGGACGACATCTATGCATTGGATTACATCTTTCGCCACCATACCGATAAGAGAGCACCCCTGCAGCCTCCTGTGAGGAAAGCATTAGCAGTTTTCAGTGGAAAGAGGAATCCTAATGACAACCATTTCTCTCGCCCCAAGTGTTAGATATTGTTTTAAACTCAAATTTTGTTATCTGTGTTTGGCTTTATATATTTTGGTTCTTGATAATATGAGCTGCATTAGAAAGTTGAGCAATGTATGCTATAATGATATCTTCTGAGGCTGAGCTAAATTTTGGATTATTTGTTATCTACACTAATTTTGGAGGGAAGTGTGTATTGTTTGTGTTTTTTTTTATGGTATTTATTTATTTATTAATTGTTTCAGGAAATTCAATGACCATAATGGTGGTTAAGGAAAATAACTAAAATATTATCCTCAGAATAAGGCCTGGTTTGGGAATAGGCTATTTTAGTAATTTTTTGACTTTTTACGAAAAGATGTGCAAAAAAGTAGAGAGGTGATGTGATAAGTTTTAGTTAACTTTTTGGTTAAAATAATCCCTCCTCAAACGAGGCCTAAGTCATTTGTCTTATCCTGGCTCTGCAATACAAACATGACCTTACTTTCCTATTAAAAAAAATGACCTTAAATTATAAGTTAATGGAAATTATGGGTAATTTGTTGCCTTTTCTTTTAAAATACATTTTGAACCAAATCACTTTTGTTAGATTCTCAACTCCTCATGTTCCCCCTGCATTTATAGGTATTTAAATTAAATTCATCACCCAAAATGGTGAAACCAAGATCACACCATTATGGAAAACCATAAAAAGAAAAAACAAAGGACTTGGAACAAATATAAGCTCAACAAAGGAGAAAAATTAAATAAAAAAACTAACATGAGCTTTCACATTTAGTGATTTTCAAGAATTTACTGAACAACCGAGATGAGGACTTGCCATGCATGAAACTCTCTGTTTCTTTTAGCATGGATGCATTTACATAAAAAAAGTATAACTCGAGAAAAAAAGAAAAAGTAGGAAGAGAGTATTACAATTTTGTATATCAGATTTACAGTGTTAGCTCTTCTCAACTCAGTTTGATGAAAGTGCAAGCTCTGCCCATGCCAAAGAAGATGCCTGGAGCTCAGCAGACACAGATGTATCAATTCTACTCTCCAACACAGTACACAATTCCTGCATCGATACCGCTTTCATGGGATCTGGATGGATGCAAAGACTCACCACCTCACATATCACTTGAAGTTCATCATATCTGAAGTGCTTCAACTCTGGATCCACCACATACGGCATCACTTCCGGCAGTTCAAGGAACTCCTTGGCCTGCACCAGAGCCAGAAAATCACAGTAAACTCGAGCTCTACCATGATAAATCCCCTTTCAAGAGCAACATGAAGAAATATTGACATGCATCAATATTCCACAATTTGGGGCCTGTTTGGTGTAGATAATCGACTTTTTTCAACTTATTTAAGCTATTTTTGCTTCATAAGCTATAAGCAAAAAACCAATACTGAGACTCAATATATATAAATAACTATAAGCAGTTGTATAAGCTGTGCACCAAACAACACTTTTGTGTTGAGTTCTTACCCAATCCAATAAGCAACCTTTGTCCTTGCAATAAGGAGGTCTCCCACTGACTATTTCCAGTAAAAGTATACCAAAGGCATAAACGTTCCCTTGGACATCCAGATGGCGTGCTTCTAGTGAATTTGGAAGAACACAGATAGCACCTTGGTTGCCGATAGAGCCTGAGTTCTTTTCTGATCTTGAAAGAATCGACTTCCAACTTTCAAAATCAACCAGCTACAGCAAAACGTGAAGCAAATGTCCTCAATGATTAAAAACTTGTATAGGGTTCTGTACTATATCAGGATTTGAAAAGCAAAACAAAAACAGCTAGAAAGAAAGAAAATGGGTAATGGAAAATATTTACTCAGGAAACAAACGCATTACAATTCAAAAATAAAATAAAGAAATATTAGGGAAAAAAAGGTGAAAAAGAACCAATCTTCTCAATCTCAGCATGACCAGGACATTCTTTTTAAATGCATAAATAAGAGTAAAATGTTAAACAAACTGCAATATTCAAGGCTTTGAGATACCTTGGGAGAAAAATCTTCTGTAAGATAAACAGCACTAGAATTCAACTCGGATATAGTAAAAGGTGGGTCAAGTTCTGTGTGAAGGTATTTGAGTCCCTGAGCAATGCCTATGATAATTTTCATTCGCCGTGTCCAAGATAATTGGCATCCTTCTCCATCTGCAATTATAAAGAAAGCTGAAATTTCAGCTACTGAAACATGTTGGAGTGACCAACTGTTAGAAATAACAAGCTTTGCTCTTACAATGGAGGTGCTCATACAACGTCCCATTTGATGCGTATTCAAAAACCAACATCCTTGTAAATGGTTTACTCTCTCTGCAATAACCCAGTAATTTTCCTGTATTCTCATGATTTAATCTTGCCAAATCAGCTACCTGAATTGTAAAAATAAGTGAGATTTTAAAAGTCATTTGTCACAAATCTAATTACGTTCACCATCAATCTAATTACTTTACCTCTCTCTGGTAATAAAGCTCAAGATAGCCTGTCCAATGCTCTTCTTTAATGCAAAGCGATATTACAGCAATCTCAGGACCACCTTTCATGGTTCCTTTGTAGACTAGACTGTCTGGAGAGGACCCAATAATGTTGCTGAAATCTTCACATGCTATTTCGAGTCCTTGTCTGCTAAATCTCGATACATCCTTCAACATCTCAGAATCTGTATAGAGACTCCACCAAAGTCAACATGAGATCTATCATATTTAAAGAGCACAACTCTGAATCTTAGATGTAACCTAAGAAGAATGGACACTTCTAAGAATGTAACATGTCTTGTCTTGTCCGACAGTGTAGGACATTGACACTCCATTCTATTTGTCTGACACTTCCCAACATTTAGACACATGAAACACATTACAAGTTTGAATAAAATAACTTAGAATCCAACGATAAAACAAAAATAAAATAAATCATATCTACCCTCATTTAAACTTAAAAATTATTATCTGACTTAAAAATTCATATATTGACATATAGTAATTATTTATCTTTATATATAACATATAATAAATATATAAATATATATATAATAATATAAATAATATATTTTGTGTGTGTTTCCCATGTGTCATGTCATGTCCTACATTTGTGAAGATTTTCGTGTTGGCATGTCCGAATCCATGCTTCTTAAGATGCAATGTGGAAGATATAAAAGAGCTTACCTATGTATATCGTCATGTGATCCTTGTCACTTGAGGATTTCTTCCAAGGGATGATGATGGAGGTTTTGCTTTTGCATCTTTGGAGAGCAGCGAGAAGTCCAACAATGAAAAGAGAACCCACCATGGTCCCGGTCACTATTTCCAGAGCTAAAAGCCAGGCGGGTTTTGAAGCTGAGGCAGGTTTTGGAGCTTCCTCATTCATAATTCCATCTTGACCATGCCAGTGGTTCTGGTTGACTCCTGAATGACTGGTAGCAGGTGGAGCTTCGGCTGTAATACAAGGAATTTTGTCATTTACAAACCACAAAGTTGCACTTAATTTGCAACAATTTGCACCAACATCATGTTCTAGTAGAGTGGATGTTACAAAAGAGATTTGATTAAATATCATTATACATGTAACTAAAACAAGGATTAAATGTCCCCAAAGAAACTCAAATTGGCCATTTAAAATAATAATTAAAAAAAAGAGTTAAAACTCTTTTTAAAGGGCTTTATCAATGGTTCTACTCCCTCCAGTACTGACATCTTTAAAAATTTTCAAGGGTGTTTATGAATCCTCTTAGGAAGCTCACCAATTACAGAGCCCCAAGGATGATCATGTTGTACATACTACATACCACATCGTGCAGTAGAGCGTTGTTTGGGATCTTTGTCTTGAAGGCAGTTCCCTTGAAAGCTTGACCTGCATGAATTAAACTATGTAATGAAAAGTTTAGGAAACAAAAACTATCCAGATTGAAGGGAGAGATAGAGTACCTTGGAAGGTAATCCAGGCACTTGGGAATGCTCCCAACAAAGAAGTTGAATGAGAAATCAGCAAATTTTAACTGAGATGAACGACAGAAGCCAGTAGTGTTCTCACTTGAGGTATACCTGTAGCAGAAATGGCATGTGTCAATTTAAGAAGATCAATACATTGGGAACGATTTGCTGCAAAATGTTGGTATTTTATTTTCCAAATCGACTAGATTAACAAACGCTGAAGTGGACCTCAATTTTCTCAGCATACCCTGATACAGTTAATAGGACCAGTAATATTGATAGTCATGAATCAAAAATCCACATCAACAATTAGTCGCGTTCATTGCAGCACACTTGAAAATTTCAAGATGCTTATATAGTGAAAAGAACTAACAATAGCTGTGAAAAGTTACAAAACACATTTTTCACAAAGAGCTAGAAGTTTCTTTGAAATAGTGGGAAACCAAGATAAAGAGAAGAACATAACATCTCAAATGCGAACTTATCGCCCACTTCGTACTCCCTCTGTCCAAAATTGTTAGTCGGAAATCAAGACAACAAGAAGGAATGACATCTAAATGTGAATTTATTCCAATTTCCTACTCCTAAGTTCCAAATTGTTAGTCTCTCTTCTAGTTAGAGATGTTCCAAAACGCTGGCCCAGTTTGAAGTGCTAAAAAACATATAATTGAATGACGCAGCTTATCCTCACAAAGAGATATGAAATATGCCACCTAAAAACCTAAACAAGCGTTGTGTAAACTTTGTGTCACAGAAGTTTAATGGGTTGTTCACAAATATGCTACACTATGAATCTATAGATTGTGTTGATCAGCTCTTCAATATTCTAGCTGATGGAAGAATTATACAGGAATAGGAAGTGCAAGTATATAGTTATATGTTTACTTACCACATAAAATTAAAATAATATTATTCACATTCTTGCTACAAGCAACTATTTTCAGTAAAAGCGCATCAAATCGATCCCCAAACAGATAACTGCAACATTTAGAGCAATTATAGTGTAATTATATATGAATTTTTTACTTACATCCCACGCATGCTGGATGTAAAATCTGAACTGTTAGTTGCAGGAACGTTTCCTTGAAGCTTATTCCTATCCAGCCGAAGTTCCTCAAGGTATTTCAAATTGCCAAGTTCAGAAGGCAGCTTTCCAGTCAACCCATTGGATTGAAGGTTCCTGAAACAAGAAAAGCAAAATCTCAAACCAGAAGCAAACACATAAACTCAATTGAAGAAACAAAATGTCAAACACCATTTACATTTTCACAAGGCTGGTCAAGCTCCCAAGCTCGGAAGGAATTGGACCTGATAGTTGATTATTTCCCAAATCCAAGACCTTTAGGTACTTTAACATGCCACTTAGCCAATCCAAATATAAGGAGGATAATCATTTTTGTATTGTTAATTTAGATTAAGTTTCAACAATTCTCAGAATAAGTTTTCAAACATTTTGTGCTCTACTTAACAAATAACAGAATAATTGGAAGACAAAAAAAATAAGAGAGAAAATTGTGTAGGATGTACAGATGGAAAGCATACAGTTCTTGCAAGGAAGAGAGTTCTCCCAATTTTGGAGAAAGAAAACCCTTCAAGGATGACCAAGTAATGTTTCTGCAAAACAGAGTTTCAAAACAAATGGGTCGCAACAATTAGCCTTTACATGCATGCTAATAGAGCACCTCCAATCCTTCACCAATTCTTTCACCAAAATTTTAATTTGAAGAATAAAGAGCTAAAAAAGTGAGCTCAAATTATTTCATCGAACTTGAATCATATCAAGGGAGAGGCAAAATTTTCAGCAAAAGGATGAACCAAATCCTTCACCACATATTTTTACTCAAATTTGACGAAATTCTAAAATGATTAGGATGGGAGATGATTTTCTTTCATCAAAAATGGGTAAAACAGGTTTGATGAAAAAGGAGAGAGTAAGGATCGGAGTGTCGCATAGCAGATCAAGCTTTTAACTAAATTTTCACTCAAACTTGATGAAAAAAAGAGAGTGAAGATTGCCACAGCCTGAAGTATTGTAAATGACACAATATAGACACACACACACATACAAGTATTTATTTGCGTATATGATTAAGAAAGAAAATATTAGACGGATAAAAAAAATCTTACAGCTTTAAGACATGATCTCGAGGCACAGAACAGGATATGCCAGACCAGTCACAAGGATCTGCATCTACCTTATTCCAATTTGACAAAGCCATAAGTGGGTCCTCATTTATAGTTTCCTTGAAGGCATAAAGAGCAGACACTGAACAAAACACAGAATCCCAAGTGAGACAAAAATTTACAAAGAAATAAATAATTAATTAAAATCCATAAAATCAACAGCAAAATCCAAGAAATTTTCCCCAGAAAAGAGTCAAATCATATACCACATTCATATAAATACTAGAAATTAAGATCAGATACCATGTAGAGATTTGTAGTTACTTAAATAGGGACTGTGAATCAAGATCTAAGCAAGAAACAAAATCAATTAGAGAAATTTTCTAGCACATACCTTCACTTAATGCAGACGCGTCACAAGTCACAAGAAAGAGTCCCAAACAGACCCACAGAGGTTGAAATGAACTAAATTTTCTCATTTTCTCAGCTTCTCCACACTCTCTCGAGAACACTAGTTGTTTTACTCAAACCCAATACCCAAATAACTCATGTAACCAACACTCCCCAAAAATCAAAGAAAAAACAAAACCCAGAAAAGAAAAGAAAAAAAAGAACAGAGTTGGAGATATGGGTTTATCAAGAAAGAGTGAAGAAAGCAATTAGGAACAATACAAAGTAGAATACAATTATGGGTTTATTAGCAGAGTAGATGAAGAATTAACCAAATCTATTCAAACCATAAAAACAAAAATAAAAGTGAAAATTAGAGCAAGCTTAAGGGTAAATCTATGAATCTGCAACAACCCATGAAAGCAAATCACTAGAAATTAGTCAGTGAGAGACTGAAGTTAGAAGGAACCCAAACTTAGATTCAAAGAGAGGTTTGCTGAAACAAGTAGAGAAAGACAGAGAGAGAAGAGTGTGCGTTGAAGAAAGATTTTTTTTGAAAATAAATGGGCAAAAAAAAAAAATTAAAAAATCAAGAACTGAAAGCCAAAAAAAAAAAGGGGAGATACAGATTGATGGAGAGATCTGTGATGAGGAATGTTTTGTTTCAGTTGGGTATTAAAATTGGCGGTTTATTTATTTAATTTTTATTTTTTTGGAGGTGTCATTTTTGAAGAAATTTATGTGATTAGTAGGGGGAGGTGGTAAACAGAAAGGTTTAATCTTGACTGCTAATGATTATTATTAGCAAGGGGCATGTATTGGAAAGGCTCTCTAAATATATCGTCATATGAGAAATTCAGAATCTCGAGTTTCATTATGTCGGATTTTTTTTTTTTAAATTTCATGGACTTTGATATCTATCCATCTATATCTATATATTATATAAGGGAAAATAGATTTTTAACTCACAAGTCATGTGTAAGTTTTAAGGGTTTTTTTTTTTTAAAGTCCCTGGTATTATGATTTTATAGCATAAAGAACACTCAATATTTTCATGATGTCTAAGGTCCCTCAACATCAATCCAGAGAAAATTCAATCCAGAGAAAATTCGATCCAGAGAAATTCTCTGATTTTTTAACTGAATTTTCTCTGGGTTGAAACCAGAGAAATTCTCTGATTTTTGAACTGAAAGGGCTTCTAAGTAACGCTTACACGAAGATGGAAATCAAACAGATACATATATATAATTTCTAGGGAATTTGAGAGGCTGCGGACATAGCTAGTTTGGCTCTCAGATCTTTTCTCAATATCTTTCCAGAATGAGACTTTGGAATGGCATGAACAAAGTACACCTTGTGCAGTTTCTTGTAAAACACCACCTGTTTGTAAAATTCACCGCCAAAAATAAAAAACCCATTTGGTGAATTAATTGGTTTGGTTTTCACGTTTAGAATCATTAATCTCATCACTCACAATAATAGATACATATACATAGACATACCTGCTTTGCAATGAATTCTTTAACAGCATCTTCTGTAAGTTCTAACCCATTTGACCGAACCACAAATGCTACAGGAACTTCACCGGCAACATCATCTTTTTGCCTGATTAATTTGCATTAATTAAATTAGGCTCGTAGTTAATTTCCAGCTCGGATATTAGGTTTTTAATTAAGTTGGTGAACATTGTTCTGACTTGTATACAGCTCTTCTCTCCAGAGAAAATTGAAATTTCTCTAAGTACCAAAGAAATCCAGAGAAAATTGTGGAGAGGAAATTTGTATGGCTATCCAGAAAATTTCTCTGACTTTGCAAATTTCTCTAGCTCTATTAACTACAATTAAACCCATGTCTAACAAACCTACAAACCCACAAATTTCTCTGGTCCAAAACTAGAGAAATTTTCTCCAAACTAGACAAATCAGAGAAATTCTCTGGATTGAAACCAGAGAAATTCTCTCTATTTACAGTAAAGTTGTATATTTATGAACAGAACTTGGTGATTGTACATTGATCTAGGAAATTTCTCTAACTTCACAAATTTCTCTGGCTCTATTACAAAGAATTTCTTTGACTTACTGAAGGAATTTCAAGTCACACAAACCCATTGTAATGCTGCAGTTTCAAAGATGGAACTTACTAAGGGACAGACTGCAGCAAGATTGGGCAACTTTTGAGTTTCGGAGTACCCTCTTGGGCCATTGTGTCAGAACAACAGAAACTGCAATGGAGACAAAAATTCTTGGATGCTTAAGTACCTTGCAAGTTGCAAGTGGAACAAGTTAACGACTTACAAAATGTCACCCACACCCATTCCCCCATAAACTCATCTTTGTCTCTATTGCACCATCAGGTGAGATAGGCCCAATACCACCAGGATGGTCAATCCAAACCACAGAATTTCTCTGGATCAACCCAGAGAAATTTTAGTTCAAGCTAGAGAGTTGAACCTAGAGAAATTCTGAATTTTCTCTGGAACTATAAAACTATGATTTGATCAATTTGTCTTTGGTTCTGCTGCTGCTGATTCAATCACAATTTCCTGTACAAACAAATTAATAATTCTTCTATGAGTTTGTGATAGATTTTCTTTAAACTTAATGCTATGAATTTCTCTGGGTTCAACCCAGAGAAAATTCAAATTTCTCTGATCCAGAATTTCTCTGATCCAGAATTTCTCTGGAACTATAAAACTTTGATTTAATCAATTTGTCTTTGGTTCTGCTGCTGCTGATTCAATCATAGTTTAAATGAAGAGTTTAATGTGACCAGTGTAATTTGCCTTTTGAATTATGAATTGAAATACCTGGGGGGACTCTTTCTTGAAAGTGATGAGAAAGGTGAAGATGGCAGTGAAGAAAGAAGTGGTGGAGCCAATGGCTTGGTTAAAGGAGCCAGGCAGGTAGCGAAGAAAGATGTTGCCGGAGACGACGAAGAAGCAGAAAATGACGGAGAGAGCGAAGATTTTGAAGAACTAGCGATCAAGCCAATTAATGTCAGCAACTCTCGCGACCCTAGTTGCCATGGCTCGGCGGCGTCGGAGATGAAGACTGAGAGTGAATAAAAGAGCAAAGAGAGTTGTTGACAAAGAGATTAGAGATAGTTTCTTCGTCGATTGAGTTTGTGAATTTGGAGTTGAGTTTGAATGGTTTTGAGGTCCAGAGAGAGATTGAGAGGTTGTAATCTGCGAGAATTGAGAAGGAGAGAGAGAGAGAATAGAGGGAGATAATCAACGGGGGCTGAATTTCTCTGTGATATATGGAAGGGACCTTAGACATCAAAAAATAACATTGTGGATGTCTTCCATTACTAAAATTGGGAGAGAGACCTTAGACTAATTTTTCCAAGTTTTAATATGTCAATTTTAATTTTTTAATTTTTTTATTTAAAAAAAATAACATCAGTATTTACTGACTTCTCCTAACTCACAAGTCTTTTTTACTTTTTCATAGTTATTTTAGCATCCTTTTCAATTTCTTTCATACACTATGGTTAGTGATAGGATCGTTAAATTATTTTTATAAAAAATCTAAAAAATAATTTATATATTAAAAAAATATCTAAAACAAAAATAAATATCTATATCTATTTATATGTTATATAAGGAAAATGAGTTTTCTAATGAAAAGCCTCTTGAGAGTTCCAAACTCTCATTCTAAAATTATTGATTTTTCAATTTATAAAATAGATTTAAAAAAATTATTGGCTGATTTATTTATTTAATTATTTTAGAAATAATAATTATTTATTAATTTATGGATTTCAAATGGGAAGATAACAAAAATATTTCATAATCGGTCCAGCTTGTCTCCAGTTGGAGATCAAGACTGAACCATCCAATCTGGTCCGTGGGCTCATTTTTGGGCCCCGTTTTGATAATCTAAATTGTTAATGTGTAGAATTTGTCAATTACTATAACCCAGTAAACAATCACGTTGATCGGATATCGATAGCTATTTGATCAAATAGTTTTATATAAAAAAAATGAACGATAAAACAATAAGCAGTTGGAAGAAATCTGATTTGATCAAATAGCTATTGATATTTGATCAACGTGATTTTTTACAAGAATATAGTATTCGACAAATTTTACATATTGAACGATTCAGATTGTTGAAAAGGAGCCCAAAAAAAGGTCCATGCTCCAAATTGGACGATGCAGTCTTGATCTCCAATTGGAGACAAGCTGAACCCTTTTGGAAGATGGTTAAAAGCTGTTTTTTGACTTTTTTTTTTGACTTTTTTTGCAAGAGAATGAAGTGGTTTAAAAGCTGGGAAGTGACTTTTAACTCACTTCCCAAAATAATCTCTCTATCATAATCTCTCTCACCAATTTTCAAAAAAAAAATATAAAACTTGCATTCCTTTTCTCTCCTCCAAAAAATCGGATAATATTTTTCATGAAAGTTGTGGGTATCCATCGATATCTTATATATTATATTATAACATAATCAAAAAAAAATGAAAAATCAAATATACAAACAGATAAAATTAATAAATTTAATTTTTATTTATGCAGTTAAAATATTTCTTTTACTTCTCAATATCCAATTTTAAAATTTTAAAATCTGTAAAGTCTATCTAAACAAATCTAATTTGAAAATATCTTTCACTACCATACTTTGAATCAATAAAACTCACATATCTATCACATATTTAACTCGCATAATAACTTACCTAAATAATAATAATTAAAAATAAATAGAAATCACAGATAAATTAAATTAAAAAAAATAGAAACCCACAACTCCATCTTAAATAAATTAAAAAAAAAAATAGAAACTACGCAAAAATAAAAAAAGATAAGAATTTAGATATAGATCTCAAAAAAATATGACAATATCTAAATTTGAATTATGATTTAATAATATAATTATCTATTTTTCTGATGTATATCTATCAAGATTTTAAATCATTTAATGAGACAAATTAATCAATTTTCAAATCTTAATTTAAAGAATAATCTTATTAGTCAACCTAACACTTAACACCTAAACTTCGCAAGCACTGGCGGAGGAGCTAATGGATTGAGTTAGGTGATGTCTAAGTTGTTGGAGGTAATATTCTCTTTTTCTACTGTTGGTTTGGTTTTAGTTTCGGTTTTAGTGAGGTTGATGATTATGGTTGCAATCGAAGTATCTATGACTGTTCTGTGCCAAAGATTTTGATCGGATTTTGTTTTCTTCAATGAACACCATAAAATTGAAGTAAAAAAAATGGATATCAAATTTTTTATTTTTTATTGTCATTTCATCTTATAGAAAATGTGAAAATTTATTAAGAATTCAAGATTTTACTATAACATTAGATTTTTGTATAACTAGGTAAATTTAAAACTTTTAAATATTATTGTGTTCTTTCCTTTTATCTTCTTTCTATCCCATTATGCCATTACTACTATTTGTTAGTTTGTTAATTATAATTCAATTAATTGAAAATGAAAACTTAATATAACTTTTCATATATATTGTAGTTAATTTGTTACAACTATAGTTACATATAATAACATAATATATAGGGATAATCTCTAAATATCATTTCTACTTTTTTTACGTGATTAAATAGTCCCTCTTAAATAGTATATATAAGAGTTAAATGACTTTTTTTTATCTCTAAAAAACCCAATCTAAAACAAAACTGATAAACACATAACTAAAAGCTACACATTTTTTTCTTTTTCTTTTTTTAATATGTAAGATATTCACAGATGAAAAATGTTTGACACCTCAATTTTTTTTTCTTCATAATCTGACTTATAATGATGTAGTCA